ATAACTGGGAAGAAACGAAGTAGTCATACATAAGAATCTTCAGAGAAGTTTTTCCCAGTAACTAATTAGAAACTGCAAACTTAATGAAATAGGGTGTGATTCCTCACCCTCCTCCAGACGTTTTACAAAAAAGTTTTTCTTGGAAAACTGTAAGAAAAGCTGCTGCTTCTGGTGACTACACACGATACATTTTTAAACTGGGTTTTAGTTCTGAACTTGCACAAGCACTGACATGGAGAACTACATTCAACAATGGCCTACTTACTATTAGAATCTACATACAGACAACTGCTCTGTATCCTCAGGTTTCAGCAGCTAATTCTGTAGTTATCTTGATATATATCATGAACAAAAAACTAAGACAGCCAGAAGTTGAGATCTAATGCTTTAATCCTCAATAATAAATTTACCTAAATTTCACGTGTTTTCAAGCCCATGCTTTAGTTCTGAATCAGTAAATTTCAGGGAATTGCCTCATTGACAAGCCACATTATCACCTTGGATCCTGATAACAATTTTAAGATCCATGAAGTCCTGAGTCCTATTCATTCCATAGCATTTTTTCCATGGTCCAAGAGGTTGCCCTTTCTCTGGATAAAAAGGATCTGTTTCTATGATCTATCATAGAATTATAGAATGGTTGGGGTTGGAAGGGACCTTAAAGATGATCTAGTTGCAAATCCCCTGCATTCCTGACAGAGTAGGTCAAAGATGGGCACACACAAACATCCATTGCTTACCCGAATCAATAGGAACAAAATCAGAAGTGTTGAAGAAAGCAGTTTTCCCTCTGACAGAGGTCACGACTTCCTAGCTGAGTAACTTCTGTCCAGAAGTAGAGGCAGATGCTTCTTTGGAAAGAACCAGCTTGTACTGAATGATACCTACCAGAACACAACTCCTGCAAGAGTAGAAACCACTTCCTGAACCCAAAATACAAATATGGAAGGAAAGAAACAGCTCACACACAGATAGAACTGGCCCAAGTACTACAGTGATATGCTAAGGCTACTAATTATTTGAAAGTGTCATAACCAATCTGATACATCCTACTTCTACCACAAACACCACTGCCAGCAAAGAACAAGCAGAATTCTTTTCCTCAGATTGCCTTCTAGAACTTCTTTCACCTTTATGACCAGTTTAAGTTATTACTTTTCCTCTCAATATCGAGATGCTGAGAACCTCATGAATCCTCACAGAGCAGGACGCCAGTGTAGCACTCACCTTCCTCTCTTTAGTTTCTGGTAAGAGAACGGGGTAATTGCAAACTGTTGTAACTGGAAACCAAGTAATCTATCCACCAAGCAAAACCAACAGTACACTGTTAATAGCTCTTCTCTTTTGTTAGATTTAAAGGCAAGCTTGTTTTGGGCACTAAGCTGTCAATATCAAAAAAGAGAAGAATAGCAGTTACTTGCAAATATTCTCCGCCATTAAATTTTACCTACTGCAAGTACTAAAAGTAGAGAGCTTCAGGAGCTGTTACTCATTTTCACCACTGAAGACAGTTAAAGTTTGCAATAATTACCATTCTCCTAGACACAAGAACAAATTGGCAGGCTGTTTCCAGGGCACTGAGATTACCTAACCTATCAGAACAGACAGTGGCTGCATAAGGACAAAAACTCCACATATTTCTGAATTTTACAGCTTACAAGTCATCTCTAGCAGGAACAAAGACAACATTCTCCACCACCTCTTCCCTAGTGACAAGGGGATATTACCTGCATCTTCCCCTCTCATTCTCCACCACCTCTTCCCTAGTGACAAGGAGATATTATCTGCATCTTCCCCTCCCCCCATTTCTGAAGCTCCTCGTAAATAAGATGCTGTATCTTTGCTTGTTACGTTCAGTTAAGTAGTTCTGCACACAGCAACTTCTCTCAAGCTGTATCAGCAAGAGCCAGCTTTGGCTTTGTAAGGAAAATACTCAGGTTATATCCATTTAGTTCAAATGCATCCACTTTAATTTGAAGAGCATTGACTTGATAAATACGTGTGAGTGTAAAAGTGTTTCATAAACACAACTGTGTTCATGGATTTGTGTATTACATAATTTTTATGTATTTAACTGCTCAGAAGTGCTCTGGTATATAGTAGGGTTTAAAAAAAAAATCCTCTATGAAAAAAGATGAACCAAATTGTGTTTGTGCAGGCAAAATTTGTCCAAGTTAAGTTCACTTAGGCGCTATTTTTTCTGTAAATAATGAATTTGCACCTTAATCACTATTTTCTGCAACTAAGTGCTCAGATAAGTGCTCCCACCACAGAGACCATTGTACCAGGAGTTCATTTTGCATCTTCCTGCCTTCAACCACACACCACAGGGACTAAGGCCGACTCAACCGGTGGGAGTTTGAGCAAGATCGAACGCTAAGGAAGAGATCTGTGCTGCATTGCTTTTCTGACTTCCCACACACATCTTTTGAAGTGGAGCAGGAACTTTTTCTTAAATCAAATGAACCTGAAATGTACTTACAGTCCTTCCTGAACACAGCTTCAAACAGAAATGCCAGCTTCCAGGCTCTGATAGAATGACAAGACACTACAAACAAAAACCCCTTTGTATGAAAAACATAGCAACAAATTTCAAGAGCAAAAGCAGATGTTATTCTTGTCCTCTGAGTCTAGATCACAAACTGATTAAACCCATTTTTTTGTTTGTTTTTTAAAACAGAGGGAAGGTCTGCTTCTTCTCACTGAAGTGGCAGCTGCAGCATCTCTTTAAAAAACAGCCCAAGGATTCCATTTCTCTATGCAGACCACGACTTCATTGACTTTAATTTCCTAAGCATACCCACTCAAAACCTTATTCTCTTCCCCCTAACACAACAGCACGTTTCTGTTGAACCAAATCTATATCAAATATCAGGAAACAGTACCACACACTGACAATGACATCAGGAAGTAAAGTAATTCATGAACACTGCCTTATATCCTATTTTCATAGGGCCCTTCCAAAAGTGAAGGTAATATTCTTAGCTATTACGGTCTGAATTTCAGCAAGCTAGAACGAACAGCCGAGTGGCAGAAAATAATACAACATTAGAACTTTTTCAGCACCTCTACATCATGTGTTACGTGTCTTCAATTATTTCCCAGGAATCTGTTAACAAGTTTAGAGTTTTATTCAGGCATGCTTTAACTCAATTGAAAGACCCTATTATCCAAGATTTAACCAAGTCAGATCACAGTTGTTTATACATGTCAGTATATATTATCTTACTTAGGAGTAAGATAAAACCAAAGTAACTTAGGTTTAATAAGCTGACAGTAAGACTGAAATGATATCCAAGGAAGTTGCTCATTAAACAATAGACCCCACATACAGCAACACAGTTGGTGACAGCTTATTTTTATTTTTCAATGGTTTCTTTTAATTTCACTTCTGCAACTAACACAGAGCTGGGGAGAAACGTTTCAGATTTCACACACACCCACGCGCAGGTGTTTTGCTTTCAATAGTTCATCTGCAATTTCTATTTGATTCTCATATTATCATCCACAGAAAACTAATTGCATAGCAACACGCATCTGACATTACTTATGTCCTATGACCAGTGTTGCCCTTGCTTTGTCACTGAAGAAAAAAAAAACCCACCACCACATTAATGTTTTCATTGCCTGAAAAATGCATAATTTAAAATTAAATGCATTTAATTAAAATTAAATGCATTTAATTTTAAGGCAACCTCAGCTGAATTTTCTGTGATCCTGTTGCAGCAATCACCTTCTGTTTCATGATACTATTAAAACTCTTTGGCACAAAATAAAAAACCATCAGGTCTGTGGGTCATTGTCCTGCCATTTCCAAGGTGATCTGATCTGCTACACAGCTAAAAGCTCTTCTTAGGGAGACTTTTCCAGATGGCAAGAACAAGAAGGCATCAGAGCTCATGATCTCCCATCCTCCTAGGGTACCAGGCTCCCTCACCTGAGGGTAGTCACCTTGTTCGCTCCCTTCTGTCCCAGGATCCCAACTCACAGTGACCCTAAAAACCATAGCCAAGCTTCTTTCACCCAGCCCTTCACTGGAAAGAGAAGGGCATTACTACCCAAGTGCAGACAAAAGCAGAAATATCCTCAACTCTAACGCCCATCATTTGGTCTCCATTAAGCGTGCAGATAGCCATTGCTTCAAAGAAAAGAGGAGGGGAGCAGCTCGACGATGACAGCCACTGCAGTAGGGCTGGGTTACAGAAAGGAGACCACCAGGCTAGATACTGAACTCAACGTGGTGTACAAGAATTATCCAGTTGCACAAAGCACCTGTAATTGCAATTCTCTGAGCATGTTGGTCAACTGCTCACCGCTATGCAAGCTGTTCCATTTGAACTCCAAGTCTGATTATCTTTGCCTTTGCTAATTGCCCTCTAGAAAGATACTCAGGCCAGTAGCAAGGTCCCTGAGCTCACAAAAAACAGTCACTGCTGGTGGCAGATTGCAGGCAAACTCAGCGGTTCACCACAGGCGTTACCCACAGGAGCACTTAACGGGAAGCGTATCACTTGAAGCATATTCGATTTGCATTAACCCGTTAGCTTAACAGAGAAACTGCTGTCAGCATTACGCAGGTCACTAACTAGCAGGGAGTACTCGAAAGCATCATGAGAGTAACCCCAGCAGTACCACAATTCTTCGACCACATCATATTTTTAATGATACCTATCAATATTTTGATAATGAAATTAAAGAGCAACAGCATAAGCAACAGGACAATAAAACATTTGTTATGTCATAATCACAAATCAAAAGGGAATATATTGGTTCCCCCAGATACTCAAGAAAACCACAACTTCATACGAAATCCTATTTTTGAAAAAATAAGTTGATGTGTGCCACATTTCTTCATGTGGATGCCTTAAAAAAGGAATTTGTATTTAAGTTCACTAATAATTTGCCATTTTCTCCCTGTTTGCTGTGGATTTCTGCAATATCTGAAAGCACTGTGGTTTTCCAGACTCCCATTATACGAAAAATTCAATCGATTTACTTACGCATTAGGTTGTAAATGTGCTTTTCTGCAACATGTTCCGTAAACAGCTTTATAAGGTCATCTTTTAAGTCTCTGTTAAGCTTGGTTTCTATGTAAAATTTATTCTGGAAAATAAGACAGAAGTTTAAGTTTGCTTTTCATAACAGCAAATAAAAATAAATTTATTTTTTCCCTGAATAAAAATAGTTCAAAATTTTAAAGCTGTAGAATATTTGACCTGTAAAGTGCTTCCTTAGTGACTGTACTTATACTACATAGAACATTTCTGCACAACAAAAAACCCCATCTATTTAAAATCAAGAATGCATGTGGTACTATTGGTGACAAACCTACGTACATACAGGCATGCATTTTTTTCCCCTACATCTACAGATATATCTCCATACCAATCCAGACTGGGGAGTTTGTAGAAAAAAACCACTTCATTTTAGAACTTTATAAATGCTCGAACACCAAAATAGGGCTAGACATCATGTTTATAACAAAAGAAAACATTTTTATCAATGTCTAAAAGTGATTAAGCCATTAATATAGATGGGTTACAGTAATAAATCATCAGTACAGCTATCCACTTCTGTAGTTCATTAACAATCGCAGAGGACAGTGACTCAGAATCAATCAACTATAGAAATAAGTGATATACACAAACCTATACAAAACCAAATTACATTAAAATTTTTGGGATTCAGTTATCTTGACCCACTCAGCATTAATCATAAATTCACCTCTTCAACTCTCAAAAGAAATTCTGTTCACAAGTTCCTTGAGGGCCTCTATACCTAACGTACTATTTGGTACTATTCCTCAGTTCCCAGCCTGCAATTAATAGTAAGATTTCTTGTCTGTATTTGATTCATAGGTGGGTTTTAAATGCTGGAAAAAAATGTTTCAAGATAAATCTCCTATCATTGCAACACTAACATGGAAGCAGAACAACTGAATTCATCTGGACAACTTGTGTAAAAGAGTTAAACAGATATTGTAATAGAAAATCAACTTAAAAATAACATACTGCAACACTTACCTGAGAGATTTACTAGAGGAAGGGATATCTTAAAGGAGAAAGGTTTTTCCACACTTTAAATCAAGTTGTTCTCCTATTCGCTAAAGCATTTAACATAATTGGAACAAACATTCAGAACTATTAGAGCAATCTTTACTTTTTTTTGTGAAACCCATTCTCTTGGCCATTACCAAAACTACACACACACTACAATAAACTGTTCACACAGAAACCACTTAAATTTTCAAGGCAATCATTCAGCAGCAGTTATTTACCTTTAACGAAAACTGAATCTGTTGGAACAAAGGCAGTACAAGGGCTGAACACATGCCCCTGTTGAAGTTTAGGTTTGTTGCAGTGATGGACAACAATTTTAAAAAAGGTATTTTAAAAAATTTAGTTACTTCCTACTGCCAGCTCCCCCTGACGCTATCCTACCTGCAGAGGTTTTATCAAGGGCTATTACTCTGTTGTTTTCCCCTCACTTTGGCCTGTTCTTTGACCAGAGATTGAGGGAAAGGCTCTGCAGACAGGATAACCTGTCTTGTAAGAAACACACTAACTTAATTTGTAGTGGTTTTGATCAATGATGAATTGCAACAGAAATTCACAGCAACTGAAGAAAGACATCCGCTAGGAAGTGTTAAGCTATGCACCATGCTACAGTCCTTCATCAGACCTAACCTCCTAAACCATTTCCACCCTGAGCTTCCTGACCACATACCACCATGTACCACTGGTGCAACACACCGGAATGACCAGAGCATCTTGGCACGCGTCTACTGCCCTGAATCAAACCTGACAGCATCAAACCACTGACTCTTAGGAGTTGACAGATGAGATGCACCCAGCTAAGGAAATAACTTAGTCTCTTCCTTTCCCAGCCTCAAGACCTTCTTACATTAAAAGTAGCTGGCAACAATATGTGCAAACTGTGATGCTTCCTTTTGTTCAAGAGATGGAAAGCCTATACCTTAAGTTTCATAAATAGAAAAGAAACAAAAAACAACCAACAGCAGTTTCAAGCATGAAAACTACAACACAGTACTTGGAACAACTGTAAAATACTCTTCGCATTTGCTCACTTGAAACACCTTTCCGAAAAGATGTTACACTTGCATGAATTTAAATAGACAATGAAAAAATGTCTAACGTAAGTACTTCATTTCCAACCCACAGTGCTGAAAGGAGATAGCAGAAGAGCTATCACCTACACCATTCTTGTCAGTGGAAAACCAAGAAGATTTTCTGTGTAAGATGTCACTACCTAGGCTGTACTAGTATTTCTTGAAAAGTGTGTCGAGTCACCTAAAGGTCCGACACGTAAAAGGTAAGTGGGTATTGATACCTGAGAAAGTCAGACATGATACAAGCATTTCTTCTACAAACCACCATATCATAAAGCAATCTGGCAAACATTAAGATATAATTGTGTTAATATTAAAAGGAGAGCAATAAGTACTTGAAAGAGAAAAAAAACCCAGTACATAAAAGCACTTATCCACACATATACATACACACACACTCACATATATTTGTGTATACAGACACACACAAAATGCCCTCTAGCTGATAAGCAATGAAGTACAATACCACCCAGTAAGAATAGTAATAGTTTAGAGGAAATGAAAGAATTCATAAATATCCTAAAACCACAGGGCTCACAAATGTTAAGCTCATTTCATGCCAGAAGAGAACAGATTTTCAGTTACATCTCTAAGTACATTTAACAATTGAGAACCTATTATAAAAAAGTATATCATCTAAATGCTGGTTTACTTTTCTTGAAGTAGAAATATGATTTTTATTTATTCATGTGTGCAGCATACTGCAATATGTACAATCTGTACGCATCCAGAATAATGATTTAGATTTACAAAGCAAACAGTTATTCACTAGGGATATTAATAATTAAGCTGAAGGAGGGTAGATTTAGATTAGATATAAGGAAAAAATTCTTCCCTGTGAGGGTGGTGAGGCACTGGAACAGGTTGCCCAGAGAAGCTGTGGATGCCCCATCCCTGGAAGTGTTCAAGGCCGGGTTGGATGGGGCTTTGGGCAACCTGGGCTAGTGGAGGGTGTCCCTGCCCATGGCAGAGGAGTTGGAACTGGATGATCTTTAAGTCCCTTCCACCCCAAACCATTCCAGAATTCTATGAATTATTCTTAGGAATAAAGCACTATGTGCTAAGCTGACTTCCAGTTTAATTTGCTTTATCTGTGGTTACATCCTGGAACTTTTGAAGGAGCTTAAACCCACAGAATTCTGGAGGGACAAAAGTGCTTTCTTGAATAGTCTACTGTAGCAGCATGAGACTGAAAAAAAAAATAATAAAAAAAATCAATCAATAGGTGAAAAAGAAAACTGCCAGTGCTCCTAGCAAGAGAAGGAAAAAGAAAACTCCCTCAATTGCAAAGTCAGCTCTCTCAACCATCGCTCAAGATAAGCTTTGAAACACACCTTGGTCACCATATACAAGCACGTTAAGAAAACACCTTTCCTGTATTCCTACCATTCACACACAAGAATATGGTTTGGCACATATCAGGAGACAGAGACAGAAGTAGTGCTGCTGTTGATATCAAAACACACAGGACTAAGTCTAAGGCAAAATACTACGCCTTTTTTGGCCACCAAGCAACAAAAACATCTTCCAGTTGTACAAAAAACCTTCAGGTTTTCCTCAGCTTCATAGATTTTTAAGTATACAAATGCATATTAAAACTTTTCCTAAGCAGCAATCTAATTATCCTTTCAGAACAAAGTTTATCAGTGCAACTCAACAGCCTGGGGAAGTCCTGATTAAAGCAATTATATCACTACCAAAAAAAACCGAAAGCCCTGCCATCTCTGAGAAAAAGGCAGAGTTCAACAACTTAGTCCTCTTCACTCAAAAATACATTGAAAGTATCTATTAAAGTAACTACAGAGCTGTAATTTATACTGTAGAATAATAAGGCTTTCACCTCTTGCAATTGTTTTTTAATTGTATTTTCTTGTCTAAATAAAGGAAACTGCTGCTGCTGTATGAGAGAAAACTTGGTTAGACGCTACAAGGTACAATTGCAAGAGTAGCTGTACATAAAAGTACTTCCAAATGCATACAGAAAAAACTAAGAGAGGAAAACATTTTTCATCCTGACATCTCTATTTTCCACATCATGCACAACACTGATTAATAAATTATTTCAGAGAAAAAGTATGAGACTTAATTTGACATCAGCCTTCAAAACCAGCTATACAGCTGAGCCAAATCATCATTGTGTTTGGCAGCAAGAGGAACTAACACAGAAGTCACGAACTCTACTTAAAGGGAGCTTATAAGAAAGATGGAGACAGAGTTTTTAGCAGGACCTGTAGTGACAGGACAAGGGGTAATGGTTTTAAACTAAAAAAAAAAAGAGTAGATTTAGACTAGATACAAGGAAGAAATTTTTTACGATGAGGGTGGTGAAACACTGGCAGAGGTTGCCATAGAGGTGGTAGGTGCCCCATCCCTGGAAACACTCAAGGTCAGGCTGGATGGGGTTCTGAGTACCCTGATCTAGTTGAAGATGTCCCCGCTCATTTCAGGGGGGTTGGACTAGATGGCCTTTAAAGGTCCTTCTAACCCAAACCATTCTGTGATCCTATGATAACTCTCAGGCCTAACGAGTTAAGTCACTTAACTGAGAAAGTGTTTGCAAGAATAAAGTTTTACTGCCTGAATAAATCACTGGTCATGCTTTAAAGAAGCTTCTCCTTTTAAAACAACAGAGTACTTTCACTTTTCTTTGTTCTCAAGTTAAAAAAAACCCCAAACTATCTAACTATTCATTTTACAGGTCTGTTTATTACTCATTAACCATTTTTACTATGCTCAGATATCAGTTAGACTCAAACTCTAACAAAGAAATTAACGGGATACAGAGCACTCCCCATCTGAAGATAAAAAGACAACATCACAACTGTGTACAAAGAAAGATATGGAAATCTATTCAGCAGTTATATCTTGTCTGGTCATACACACAAAGCTTACAAAGATAGACATCTAAACAGACAGGTTTTGTCATAAACATTTTTTCAATGTTAGTTACTGCAGCCTTAATTGTTAAGGATAGCTTTTGAGGTCTACGATGGAAGAACCTCTGTAATAGATCTGAGCGTTCAATAAAACTACACACCTGAACAGCTTATCTCCATTTGTAAATAGATATTAAATTATGAGATTGCTTAAACACCTGCTTGCAATAGACAAGTGAAGCACACATAGGTGAAAAAAATGGCTAGCATCTAAAAATAGCTGAACACAAAAGGGGGAAAAGTCTCTTCCTAGTTTTTAATGCTGCAAATCTATATGGTGACACTACGTTGAAAGACTGTAGCAAGTTACCTGGTTTCAGGTGCATTCACTGAAACACAGGACATCCTAAAAGGTACTGCTTCCCAAACTTCAGGAAGCTACCAATGAGAATAACTTTGAAGAGTCTGCAATTTATTTGATCTAAATCAGTTTAAATATTTTTTTCTTAAAAAAAGTTTCTTTGCCAACAAATATTTTTTTTTTTTTTTTTTAATTTCTAAGTGATACCAGTGCAAGGACGGTTTCTTGGAGAAGGGCAAATTTCAAGGTTAAGTTACTAATTACCATAAAAAAGCAATAAAAGTCTTGGCACTTTGACAAAAACAATGCAAATTATAAACTTCTTCAGAGGCATAGAAGACTTTATAAATTACAAAATCAGCACAAGCACTTATAGCCAATGGTTTCTGAACCTCTGCAAGTATGCTCGACAGTGCTACGAACACAAGTTTGTCTTCATCCAGTCAACGCTCTAAATTGCTTTATCAAGGGACACAACCATTTCCAAGACACATTTCTTTCTGTTTTGTCCCAATCTGTGCAATTTAAAAGCAAGACACAATTGGCTTTGTAGCCTGCCCAAACTACCACGCCAACATATAACAAGCCAATAAACGATCTCTGTTCAAAAAGATATAAATAATGATCTGTTTACTACAATCAAAATAAAAACCATTCCACCCACTCCCAGGAAAGAAATATTAGGGCAGAAACAAATTGTGAAACTCTACATTTAAAAGCACAGCTTCCCCTTCCTCTCCCCGCAGAACTTGACCAGTATTGTTATGCAGGTAGCAAAACCAGGCATGAATTGTAAGTTCTGCAAGTTAAAAGTTATTACAGCTGCATTTTATTCTTTTCACTTTCAGTCAGCATCTTGTGTATGGATATACTTTATTTGAAAAGAATTTTCTAAAACTTACCATATATATGAAAAGAGGCACAATGCTCTGCAATGCTCCCATATACTGTCCAAGAGCTACGTTAAATCTTTCAATATAGAGATCTGGAGGGCTGGCCTGCAAGAAACCGTAAAAGTCAGGTTGTAATTTGAAGAAGAGAAAGATCTGGAACAGCATGGGCTGTGCTTTCATAGCAAACTCAAAAAACTACAAAGAATTTGATACACTAAGTCCACACAAAGCAAGCCACACATCATTCCAGAGTTTCTGCTATAACTCCCTCCAGCAAAAACAGTTTTCTTCAGTAACTGGTTTTTGCCTAGGACTACGTGTCAGTGCCCAGCAAAAGGTGCATTCAGTCAGAAATACAGTATTGCCTGTAAACAAACTAGCATTTAGCATATGCAAATAAAAATGCTTATTAAAGACCAGACCTTCATTTTGAAAGAACTGTCATGCCTAGAATCCATAATCAAATTTCAACAAGTGCTGCGGTATCTGCTCCGACCCCCCCGCAGGCTTTTACTCCAAGACAGCAGGGTGGCATTAAGCTGTTGCTTTGCCTCTGAGCTGGCAGTGGCGTATCCTCCAGCTCCAAGGAGGTTTTTTTTTCCTTCACGGAAAACATGTTTCAGTTTTGCTCGGTCACCTAAGGCAAAGCAGATATTCTGGGTATTGAGTTGGAGGGACTACGAAGCCATGTCTTCAGACAGAGCTCCCCATCTGATGTCCTGCACTCCAGATTAGGCCCACCAGAAAAAAAACACTGCAGTGCTCCAACATTCAGCGTTACCCTGTAGTCTCAAGCAAAACTTTGCTGCACAAAACCTGAGTATGCCAACTTTATGATAGGCCTTGCAGAGCCCACAGTGAGAGCACTGCTGTTTCTGTGCACTGTCTTTCCGCAAGAAGGAAATAAGGAAGCTAAGAAGGTCTTTTCTGCAGCAAGCTAAGTTGAATTGAGATGGGAACCATAAAAATGGGAAGCAGTAACCACTGTTTCTTTTATAAATATTTATTTGGAGGGATGCCGGGGAGCCGCATGAGAATGTTCAGGAGTGCACTTACACACCCAGGGTTGGAAGTGGAGCTGGGGTTCTGTGTTCCTCCACTATTCCCCTCTCCATCCCAACCCACCCACATACAGTGCTCTGCCTCTAGCCCAACTCATCCCACTTTCCCTTCTATGGTCTTTTCAGAGGGAGGGCGGTAGCTGCCTCAGTTCCTACTGTTCACATACATATACACACCTATACGCACCCAAGGACAAAGTGTTGCTTGCTAATGAGAAGCAAAACTTCTCTTCCCTTCCACCATTTTCCTCTCTGACAGCACCAAGCCAGAAGAGGATGGAGAATGCAGCAGTGACTGGGATCTTGCAAGAAAAAAAGCTCAAAGATTTTTCTGAAGCCAAAGCATCTGTGGCGTGAGAAAGACTCAAGCCTCGCTGCACCTCGACCATGTTATCGGAACTTAAAGCTCTTATCTTTACAAAGCAGATTTTTCAACCTTTGTATGGATGTTCACCAGGGGCCCTAAGAGAACAGTTAGAATTTATGTTGACTTTTTGCTTTATTAAGTAGTCTAAATTTATAAAAAGTTTTGTTGGTTTTTTTTCCCCTTTAAACTAGCTGCTTTTGCCCCTCTCCTTAATATGCTTAATGAACACGTGGGTAATTTTCACAGCAAACACCAATACAGAGCAGACATTTCAGAAAGGAAAGCAAAACTGGCAAAGGAATAAAGAGTGTTATTCCATATGCTGTTGCCAACGGTTATATATGGTTAGTCCTCGTTTTGATCATAAGTTTTTAATCTTATTGCAGATGCAGTTCTCAGGGGTGGCCAAACAAATTTTAGTTCAAAATGCCAACAATGTATAATGTGAACTCCAAGGACTCCCTTTCATATATAGTTCCATATATAATTTGTTGCAAGTAACATACAATGAAATCTGCATTTCTAAGCAGTATGTATTCCTGCTTCACTCCTTTTTAACCTCAACTCTAAATATGCTTCTACTTTCTGATTTGTAAAGACTTGGTGTACACCTTCTAAGATTAAAGAAAAAGGAAAATTCTACTTCAAAGAACATGTCAGACAAAAAGATGCCATAGCCTGACACAGGACAACACTCCTCTCTCACCGACAGTTTGCACTTTTTATTTAAAAAAAAACAAAAAAACAAAACCAAACAAAAACCTCTGGAATGCAGAGTCCTGGTGTTAACTGGTTTATCAGCATGAGAAGTTACCTCATGTTTTATTCTCTTTATTCTCCTGATAGTGTTTCACATCAGCTTCAACAATCAAGAATTTAACAGGAAAGCACATACTACCTGACTTAGGTTGTTTCCAAAAAAAAAAACCAAAAAAAAACCCCCAAAAAACCCCACAAAAAACCCAAAACACACCACAAAAAAAACAACAAACAAAAAGCCAGCCCCAAACCAAACAAACTCTCCTCAATTCTTGCTTGACTTGTAAACTAACGAAAAACCCAAGCCAAACAGAAATCAATAACAGTATTTTCATAGCTCATCTATGAATTATTGTAATCTGTGTGGGGAAAACAGAACCATCTGTTTTCTGTTCATTAGGGTGTCACTGTATGGCTGCTCAAAACTGCTAGACTGAAATCAATTACTTGTTTGAGCACAGGAATTTTCTCCACATCTCTACATTCACATCAATAAGACAGTAACTGAAGTGGGACTGGCTTTATATAAACTAAACTGATTTTATAAATGAAAAAGTAGTGTGTGGCACCAAATTCATGAGTAAATAGATGTTGCTAAGATTTTTCCATTAAATGGCCATCATCAGAACAGAACTTGCATTTAAAAATCTGTATTTATTCAGCTATAGCTATTATTAAAAAAAATAAACAAACTGCTTAGGATGACATTTTTCACTCTTGGTCCTAGTCCAGAAAAGATAACACGTACATTCAGCTGGGGAGGGGTGGAATTAAACATGTCATTTACTTCTTACAACCCCTCAGAAAATATTAAGTCTTTAAAAACCACTCCTATCTTACCTGAGGGACATATTACAGAGGCTATTGAAAGAAAGAAAAACATACTGCTAGCTGAAGGTTTTCCAGGAAGGAAGAGGATCCTTCATTCCTTCACTCCCCATTCTGAACCCTATCAAACCGTCACTTCAGTTCTTGTTTGTTTGGGGTTTTTAAGACACTCTATACAGGGAGACAGCGTAAATCCTCTCCTAGAGTTGTTCTCATGTACCACTCACAGGGTTAAGAACAGTTTTCCAGTAATAACTATATAGTGTGTCTGCCCACAGAAGCACTGAATGTTTGGTCGGGTTTCTCAAATTGTGATGCAGTCACATTTGCTTAACATCTTCAGCTTGGTTTTGAGCCAACTACTTCTTTGCATAAAATACTATGGCTGCTGTTAAAAGCTGATGTCAGAGATGTCATATAATGTCCTTACACACCACAGTGGACATCTCGGCACCAAGAGAAATGAGAAGTAACAAGAAAACACATTTGAGAAAGGATGACAGGTAAGACAGACATCTTCAAACAAAACAAGCAATTAAGAGACTCAGTATACTAAATTACTCTGCCCTTATTTGAAATCTAGTATTTAGGCATTTCAATGAACTTGTGGGCAAGAAACTGTATACATGAAAGTGATGTGGTTTTTTTCAGTTTGAAAACTAGTTTGAATTATCATTCTTTGACTGAACATACGAATGAAACCAGAAGGCACGCTGCTGGCTCAAGACAACTCAGAAATGGCTCACAAGAAAGAAACAGTTCTTTCCTTAAGGAACACAAAATTAATCTGTTTATGAATAGTCATCTGGCACAATCAGCAATATATGCAGTAAAGCTTATGTTCCTACGTTGAATGGGCAGTTCCATTTTCCCGGTAACAGGCTCACTGCCAAAATGCCAGCATACATGCTGTAGCATCTCTCCCACACCTGCCAAGTGAAAAGGGAGAACAGCTATGCCTACACAAATTAACCTGCTATTCATGTAAGTGCTCTGAATCTTTTAAACCAGTTTTTGTTCTTTCTAAAGAAAATGTAATTTGTTTACCTTGCAGACAATTTATGCAATGCCCAGGTCCACCTCACTAAACAAGGGTACTATTAAAACTTTTTACAAAAAACAGACATCAAGCCAAAGTACAAGTAATTTGAAGATTGACTGTGTCTTCCTATTCAAAGTCCACACTCAAAACTGTTCAAAGCCGTACAGCACCTTAACGTACCCTGGTATAATTGCTTTAGAGCAGGGTAGCAGATGTAGGTCATGTTTCCATTTCCATTCTACATATTTACAAAACAAAAAGACATTGTATCTAAGGACCATCAAAACTGTTCAATAGTAAGAAACCTTCAGAACTTTTTCCATCTAGTAAACAGATATTCATTTGTGCCATATTTACTCACTTCTTTCTGTAATTCTATCAGGGTCTGCAGCACGCAGTGTAATGTGGAAAGGAACTAAAAATGACTGCAGGAATACAAGCCCTTTCAAAAAGCTGCAGGCAAGGATGCTTTTCTTAGGTTTGCTTGTTTATGATAATGTCATTTTTAATGACAATTCTGGCAATATTGTGATGTCTACCTCAAGTCAAAAGCCATCTTTTTGATGTCCAACATGAAGATGCACACATTTCTAACACTTCTGATTTCTGCTGAGTTCTAATACTGATCATTCATTTGATCCGATTCAATTCCATGTGATTCACTGCAGTAAAGGCTTATTTCACACACAATTAAGCCATGTTCCCCCACCAAAACTGATGAATAACTGCCTACGGCACTGGATATTTGGTTGTGGGTTTGTTTGGGTTTTTTTTCCTTTTATAAATACTAGAGATCAGATAAATGGCCAGTCCGAGTCTCCTCTCTAAAAAACAGACTGTCAATATTAACAGATTATGCAGTTGACCCCTACGGACTTTAAGAAACATTAGTGATTTAACATACTTAGTAAGCAAAGAATTAAGAAATGCAAGTTCCCAGTTTCCATTTCCCCACTCTATTTCTCATCTTTTCTATAAGCAGAACAGAGGAGGCAGATTTGTTTTCTACATAAAGTGAGAAACTAGTGCAACTATGGAAATTATTTCA